GATACAGGAGTTTCTTATCCAACGCCGTCACTGTACCTCTACACACACACACACACTCTCTCTCTCTCTCTCTCTCTCTCTCTCTCTCTCTCTGTCCGAGTATGTGTATCTGCTGCTTAGGCTTAGTATTTGTGTACCAAGAAGTACCAAGAAGCATGTAAAGCACCATAACACAGTGATGTACACACAGTGACGAGACACGACTGAAGAGTTGCGACCCTAAGACTCAACTTTGCCCCGATGTCTTCAACCCCGATTCACAGAGACTTCAACTCATCTCTTCTTGGAGCCCTCTACTCTACTAATTACAGACCCACAAGCCCTCAATAAAGCATGACCAGCTGAAGTGTGGCTCCTTGAGCTCCCGACCACACGGCCTGAAGTTGCGCAGCGGATCTGAAGACGCACCTGACAGTGGACACCAGAGCTTCAGGTGCAGCTTGTGCTCAATTCTTGTAGTAACCCTTATTCAAGAACGAGGGAAACCTCCGAGCTTAAGCAGCGAAGCGAGCTCAAATAGCGGCCATGGAATCCCTGTCAATCGAATTTCCTTTTTACACACACAAAAGCAGCAAAGCTGCTGTAGCCTACAAACATGGCCTCCGCCCTTTGCCTAGGTTCTACAGACTAGTGCTATGCATCGGCACTTGCAGGCCGTTGTTGTAAAAAAACCCTCTCATGGCTCAAGACCTCTCTTCTGTCTCGAGCCGTTGTCAAAAAACAGGCACGCATGTCTCTTGCCACACGCATATGACATGTTGCGACATGGGCAGCACCGGAATGTCCTCACTTATAGTACCCTTTAGGAGCTGACGTCGCCTCGATGCCACGGTCGGTCGACGTGACTCTATGTGACTCCTGCTGCTTGCAAGGCAGTCGGGATTCAACATGCGACATATAGGATGTCCTGGGACTCAACTCAGCATGGCCACCACCTTTGACAAGTCATCTTGAAAGGAAGCCTCCGCCAACTCCAGGGCCTCCCGAATGGTCACACGAACAAACTCGTTGGTGGCCTCGAAACCACCAGCCATGCTCTCCACTCTCTCATCGATCATCTTCTTGTCCGCAGGCTCCGAGGCACTGGCATCCTGCAACCGCAAACTCGTCAAGTGCCGGCCAACTGCCAACACCACATCCAAACCAGAGCCATGACCCAAGACGCCAGAACTTGTGCAGAGAGAAAGACCTCTGTAGTCGCTGCGACGCTCTTTGAGAAGCCGCGTCTGAAGCACTTCAAACAAGCACCATGACCTTGATAAAGGCTTGACCTCTTCATCCAACACCATTGCTGTTCCCTTGCAGCTCAGGCTGTTCAGTGCAAGGAAGAATGACGACTCTTCGCATGTTGAACCAAGTTCTGCCTGGATAGCCCACTGGTTATTGCTGAAGGAGCAGATCCAATATGCACAGTCAAGTTTCTCCCCGACCCATCTGGTGTGATGGCGCAGGGCATCTTTGAAATGGCAAAAGGGGGTACCCCAAAAATGGCTCACAAACCACGCAAACTTGGCCGGGCCCTCATACTCAACGTAAGAGAGCTTGCAGGTAGAAGTCAGGGGTTTCACAATGTTTGCAACTACAAAATACATGTCTCTGTCTCGAATATGGACTTCAAACGCCTGCCACAGCTCCAACAACCTTGCAGTTGTGATTCCACGATCGGCTCCGCGAGGGCATGCAACTGGTGGAACACTCGCCACTTTGGCCCTGAAGTGATCAAGCTGGTTGTTGAGCGATGTCCGGAGAAGCAGCCGTCTCCAGAGCTGCGCTGCTGCTGCCAGTATGAATGTCACCCCAACAGCGCAGGCGGCGTGGAAATTGTGGAGCCCAGCAAAGATATACAAGCACAAGGCTAGAGCGCCTGTTGCCACACACAGGAGGCCAAGAGGGAGCATGAAAAAGCCAACACAAAGTGCAACCCTGCTACGTGAGATCATCAACCATCCTATTGAAGCATCTGCCCTGCCGGTCATGGCATGACCCTCGGCTTCCAACAGCACACATCGATTCTTCTGCGAGTGCATTGGCTTGGCATAGAAGACCTTGGAGTCTAACAAAGGATGACCAGTTTGAGAGAAGTGAACCTTGGCTTGCAGCACGGGCCGACGAAGCAAACGATGAGACGTGGTAGTGGTCACGACCACAACTCCAGAGTCCAGGGAAATGTCCTCAATGGCCATGGGACTGCCAGCAACGACTAGATAAAGCAACATCCACATGCCAAACATCTGCACCGCAAAAAGGAGCAACATCATCAGGTAGTTCAGGTTGGGCCTGCATTGGCCACCCACCTCCTGCTGCCAAGCTCCACATTCTCCGAGATGGCAGGATCGTAGGCCTCTCTCGTCAGTCCCATAGAAGCGTGCATCATTGCAAGCACAGGAGCCATTGCCAGCTCTGTAGTCAGAACTTCCCGGTGACTGCGCCGAAAGATCGTCAAAGCAGGTGCCTCTGCCATAGCAGCTCCTACCACTCCAGCGGCCTGCACAAGGCAGGCACTGCCTTTGGAGCAGGGTGCCGCTAGTGAAATAGCCCTTGGCGCACGCAGCACAGTCGCCCTTCGAAATGTAGCCTTCATCACACCTGCACAAACTGGTGCGGTCGCTGCAAACGCCAGCATAGTTGCATGCAGCCTTGGCAACGCAGCTACTTGAAAGCATTCTGATGGAGATGCCAACGAGTGTATGTACCCCCTGGTGATAATTTCCAAATCCATCTCCTATCAGCACATCTGGCACGCCACTGCCATACCAATCCACGACTTGGACTGCGCGAGGGGGTATCCTCCTTCTTCCGCTTGGCTGGAACTCCAGAGTTTGAGCTTCTTGAAGGGACCCATTTAGTTGCAAGAATACAGTTGCCTGTCCTTTCGCCTCGGCAACCATGACCACATCTAGCAGTCCATCCTTGTTGAAATCGGCAGCTTTCAGAATGCTTCCATCCAAGACACTCCTTCCAGGGACAATGCCGCGCAGAACCTTGAACACTTCTCTTGTCTGCAGCAGCACAGCACCTGAGGTGAGAAGAAAATCTTGCAAGCCATCACCATTCCAATCAACCACGTCTGTCACAGCCGCTCGAAAGTAAGAGCGCCAAGTGTCGTCTGGCCACGCCTCGGCGACGCCTAAGGAGGCAAGATCCACTACAATGGAGAGCTCGGAAAACGACAAGTCTGTCGACTGCTTCGCGACAGCGATGCTTTGGTTTCGAGCAACGCAAATCAAATCCGGCTTGCCATCACCGTCCCAGTCTTTGACAAAAGAAAGCCGGAATGCATCGCGTCTGCCACAAGGTTGCGCCATCATCGTGGGCATGCCATCGAGCTCCCCACTGTTCAATCGCTTATAAACATGGAGCGAATGGTCATCGCTCATCAAGAGATCTAAGCTGTCGTCACCGTTCCAATCCAGTACAAAAAAATGTCTGCTCTGTATGCTTCCATTCGGCTGAAGGCACTATTGGGTATGGGGAGTAACTTCCCGAGCCAATCCTTCGAGCGAAGCCACAGTGTGCATTCTCTCATTCCTTTATAGAAACCTTCCACGACACAGGAAATCATGTCTTGGAGACCATCGCCGTTCCAGTCGGCAAAGCTATGCCTCTGCCAGGCTCCATTGATCGGACGCACTCTCAACTGGCCTGGCAGCTCTGCTCCAGCTAGCAACTGCAAGTGTCCTGTAGACAAGCGTTCATAGAGATGGATCTGAAACTTAGTCACCACGAAAAGGTCAAGGTCTCCATCTCCGTCCCAGTCCACTGCCTGCAACGACACGACTGCACTGCCCAGTTCGGCGAGCAGCTCTTGCTCTTCTAAAGTATCGTCTGCCTGGCGTCGAAGAAAACGCACATGGCCATCAGGCGAACCCAAGAGCAAATCCAAACGCCCATCGTGGTCCCAATCAACCGCAGAAGGAACTTGGCAACGTGTGGTCCCAGATGACCTCCCAAAAGCCACAAGCACTTCACTTCCAGATTGGCTACCGCAGAGTCCTCCACCTTGAAGGGCCAAGTTGTCCACCCATGCCAGCACCTCCAAGCCATCACTGCGCTTGTGGCAGCAAAGCACTCCAGAGCGGCCGTCGCCTTTCCAGTCAGCAGTGTCTACAAATTGCCATGAATCCCATGATGCTAGCTTGAGGCCATCGGGCGTTGAATTCCCAACTTGCTCATTCAAGTTGTTTTCGCCCGCATGGCGAAAGTAACGCATGACTGCAGCCCCTCCGCGACTCTTCTCAAAATGAATTATGTCAGGAATTCCATCCTTGTCCCAATCGTAAAAGTAGTCGATGCCGCGTTCGCCAGTATGGTCAAAGCCAGTAGAACTTGCGAGTCTCCAGTCCGATTCTTGCAGGTTGGCCCATTGTCCTCTGCATGAATTGTTGCCTCTTCTGCACCACTCGGTTGCAGAGCTACCAAGTACCAAGTTGAACACCGACATCCAGAGCACACTGCAAATCATGGCGTCTCTTCGGCTCTTCGGCAGCACAGAATTGGGGTCTGGGAGGCTTCAGGGCACAGGGGGTTGTTGCATCTGAAATGACTTCAGAATCTCCGGTCCGTGCTTGGAGGATTGGCTTGGATCTGTGGATCTACACTCATCCCGCTGATTCGGAGCTGCGGTTTAGACTCGGCTTCTCTGACTCTCGTCTTGTGAGATTTTAAAGGGGCTATAAGTCTGAGCCTGTGAATTCGAGGCTGGTGACCTGCGGGCGGAGGGTGAAAGCTTGGAGGTTTGGTTGGGAGGTACATGTAGGCTAAGGATACAGGTAGCTAACTAAAGTCCTTCCAGCTCTGAGAATGCAGTCCCGTGCATCGTAGGCGATGTATCAAGAGCTCTCCATTGTCTAAGCTAGCTTCAAATAGACTCCAGTGCCAGCAATCTTGAAGAAAGCATTGATTAAGAAAGTGGTGTCTCAGGGTGTTCCGAAATTCGAGAAGGCGATTGCCTCTTACAGTTAAGAATGCAAGTGGACACTGGATTTCGCAGTGAACGTTCTTGAATTTGTGGCGGTTGGGGTCAGGAGTTTGGCCCGAAACAGCACGTAGGCCTTTCTGGATTGTGTCTGGGTGTGCTGCAGAAACGAAAAAGCGACTGAGCAAGTCAGTTTTCCGAAAGCAAGAATCGTAGGTCAAGCTACAGTGCCCTCTTTAGCCTAAGAAAGTGGCAAGAAAGACAGTGGGCACTGGAGCCAGCTGTGGTCCAAGAAGACGTTAGTGCAGATTAAGACTGTGACTAGGAAAGCAAGTGACCTGCGGCATCAGCCTCACTGCCTACACCTTTCTTAGCTTAAACAGTGCTCGCCCTGACATGTCCCATGTCCTAAGAAAGACGTTTACAGTCTACACTCCCCCTGTGGAAGCTCTCTGGAAGCCTTGGGGTTTGATTCGTGGCATGCGATGACTGGGGGCAAAAGCGGGTAGATTGAGGCTCGGGTACTTGAGCCTAAGCCTGACCCCAAGTAAGCGGATCCGGCAAAGACAAGAGCGGCTATGAGCAGCCATTCTTCAAGTGACATCTTCGACAGCTCGGGCATCCCTCAAAGGCTGCGGACTGAGCTATGGGTGGAGGACGACGAAGGAGCAGCCTCGTGCAAGATAGCACGGTTCAACTTACAAGTACAGTGGCGATAGCTCATAAAAAGAATGCTAGCAGCAACGTCTGCTATTGCAACTGAACCTACAAGGACAGCAGAAGTGGCGCCGCCAGCAGCACAGTATAAACACCAACAGCCAGGGCGACCACTCCCAAACTTGCTCACAGAACTCATGAGCATCGGCACATACGTAAGGGAAGGAGACGTCGTTCCGAGGCACTTCTGAAGAACACACCAGACTGCTCAAGCAAAGAGGAAAAGTCATCGTGGCTGTAACAATACCAGTGCCGCCATTCTTGGTAAACAAAAGAAGCCCTTGTGAGGAGTACTGGCTACTACCGAGATGCTACTACCAGTGTGGTTGCAGGAATATCATGCCATTCAAGCCGTGGGGCGTGAATTGACTCACAAAGGCATGCGTTTGCAGTCTTCATAGTCGTCATACTTCCGAGTGCAGAATACATCTCAGGATCATCCCTATATAGCAGCAATCAACTTCGTCCATCGCTGTCACTCGGGATGCATATGCCGCTTGACAGAAGAGGGTAGCCTAGTGCCACTTGGCCCATTTAGCACACGAAGCCCGCAGCCTTCGCTTCGCCCTGAGCCGCCACTGCACTAGGCGCCACGTGTCGCTCCTTTGCGCGAACAACCGGCATGATGTCTCAGTCCAATTTCAAGGAGAAGGACACAGGGGTTTTGGCGTTTGGGTTGAAGCTAGGTCCAACTCCAGCGAGCACTTGGACTGGCGTGTGCGGAGAGCTCACGGACTCCGGTTCTAGATGCTCCCCGCCCTGGACCATGCTCCTACTACACTAGACCTAGCCCGATCATCCCGAAGCCCCACTGCAACACAACTCTGCAAGTGTGTCCTGGTATCGTTGGCGATCTTCCTGGCAGGTGGCACTTCTGCCCATGTATCTTGCTGCATGCCCTCTTGGCACTGCTTTTTTTTAGGGTCTCGGGCTGACATGCCATCTGCCAAAGCAGCTTTAACCCAAGCACCAGAGCCACGTGTTTACATGGCTCTCACCACGAAGCTGCTAGTCTGACGGAAACGATTTGCAGATGTGATGCACCCAGAAGTCTCTTCAAGATTCGCCCTGAAAGTTCTTAGTGCCACACTGAAGACTTCTATGAGTATGATTACGATATTCACATCCGAATATGACTCTCAATGCCATGGCTCAGGGCTTAGGGCTCTTGCCCCTCTTGCTGCTTCAACAGGTTGCTACCCTAAACCCTAAACCCCTAAACCCTACACCCTAAACCCTAAACTGCAAGGCCTCCATCTGCTGAAGAATGGCCTCGCGCTCCTGGCAACCAAGGCATAAGCACTTCAGAGTCTGAGGCTTGGCTGATGCTCGAAGCCTTTACTGGTTCCCTGCTGGGGTCATATTAACAATGATCATGCTTAATCTTTATTAATTAGGGTTTTATTATTATTATTCTTGTTATAACAAACATGTAAAATTGTATCCAACAAGGACCCAGTTTATAGAGATCAAAACGGCAAATCCGTCTGAGGTTGATGGGCTCTGTGTACTTATCAAAACAAAAGACTCAGTGACTCGTGACATATTAGCCTCCAAACTCTAAACCTTCACAAGGCGGAAGGCCAAACAAAAACAGGCCTAAACCCTCTGAACCTTCTGACGACCTTCTAGTTGCTGTGCTTGGTCCTGTCGGACAACCCATTCTGTCAATAGCCTCATCAGAAATGACACCCAGGAAAGAACCTCAGAAGAATCATCATCATCCTCATCCTCATCATCATCATCATCACCATAACAACAATATTGATAGAAATATAAGAATACACGTAGTAAAAATCATGTTAGTAAATACTAAAAATAGTTGTAAGCAACTAGTAACCACAATAAGTAACAATAGTCGTAATCTTGACAATCGAAAAAATCGCCCCTTTGTTTCAGAGGCTCCTAGGACCTGGCCTTCGCTCGCGCGGCTTTCGAAGCTCCCGTTCCCAGCTGTCCCTGTGCAAAGCGAGCGGAGGGGTGCTGGATGTAGGCTTTGGGTTTAGGGCTTGGGGTTTAGGGCTTAGGGTTTAGGGTTCAGGGTTTAGGGTTCATTCTATACAACTGCAAAGAGAAAGAGTAGATTGACAGTACTACCATAATATAATAGGCTACAATATACCAGAAGTGCTTCAAGAAGTAGGGACGGACGGTCTCTCGGGAACTCGAAGTCGACCCCGGAGCCAACACCTCAGCAAGGGCCTGAAGAACACCTTCTGAGGAACTCCACTTAACTTCTTGGACTCTGTGAACGAAAGGCAGAGAAACATCAGGCCATGCTGGACCTCGGTTTAGTCGTAGCTTGATCCACCAAGAAACCTTGTGACTCTGGCGATTTTCAAGTGACCAATTTGTTCTTTCAGAGTTAAAAGTCAGAAGCTTTCATGTGAATGTAAAGGGTTCTGTGCTAACGCTTGGAGAGCTTGCAAGGCTGGACACCCCACTTTAAACTTTACGTATCCGAATCCAAGGCCAGCCGCACAGCCGTGCACACCTAAAGCAAAGGCGAAATGCATCGTTGCGTATCAGCCAAGATGGGGGCCTTGATTCTGCCCGATTCTTGTGCCGGAGGGGCGAGTCCTGGATGCAGTGGCACAGACCACAACCGGCAAAAGGTGACATGCTTGCCTCCTCGGCTAGCCATGTGCTATCTGGCTGCAATCAGCTTGCTCGAAGACGACCCGACCCAAACCCTAAACCCTAAACCCTAAACCCATCTAGGAGCAGGGATCTTCAAGAGCCCTG